TACCTTACGTAAGGACAGAATTACAACTCAGGCTCGCCTGGTGCATGATGGGACTGACTCGCGAAGAATATGATTCAGAAGAAAGGAAGAGATCAAAGGAGGAAAAAGTTTTCCTTATGACGAATCTGAGGGATCTGATAGTCCAGGAGGGAGCAGCAGTAGCGTGTGCAAAGCGGAGAGACGCTCTCTGTTTCATTCGATTCCTGATAGAGCAGATTTCAGTACCTGCATTAAACACTTGTGTTAAAATGTTGAGGGAAGGCGATGAGCGAGCGAAAGCCATGTTCTTACTAGCAATGCTGGATATGCAGCAAAGTAAACCGATGAGGGTGAACATGAAAGAACCTGAAGAATTGGAACCCATGAAAAAGATAGACGAGATCAGGAGATTCTCAAACAAGGAGTTGAGGCTCACTAAAGAATCTATGGGAGCATTGCCGAAATCCAGTGAATACTGTGGACCGATCAAGAAGAAGTCATATAGCTATGTGTCCGGGATTATAGGGATAGCATACAATCCTTTCCTGAGTGAAGACATACGCGATTGCTTCTTTGATTATGAGCAGGCGGTGTTACTAAGATTCTGGACGTCCAGAATTGTGACGACTAAGAGCGTTAACAATCCACAGGCCAAATTGGGATTGGTCTTGGAAGAAGAGGTGACTGCACCTTCAGTACCAAAATCCGACAAGAGAGTGGAATTTGGGTTGGGATTCTCAGATGAATTACTGAGAACGAGCTTGATGGCAGTGTGGGAATTGATGAAGCCATCATGGTGTCCTAGTCCCAACGCTGACTCAATATTACGGGCGACACAAGACATACAGAGGGAACTGAATGCGGACTGTAACCTGCGTGACCTCAACATCATATATAATGTGATGATAACAGCCTCTAAGAGCAACGGAGAAGATAAAGTGGAGTTGCCTGGCTGGGGACCAGAAGACTGGGTCAAACCTGGTAGCTGTCTGGCGGAAGTCTGTGGACTAGAGCGTCACGTTTGTGGAAGTCTAGACTGTGTGAAAACCCTGGAGAAACAACACAAGCAGTTGACAGTATTGTTTGGAAATGTAGTGATGAAAGCAAGAACGGAAACGGAACTGATAGCAGGTTGCCATGGAGGAACCGATGTGAATCTAGTGACAGCACTAGGATTCTACAGCATGTTTGGTTCTTTAGAGTCACTATTGAATCTAGAACAGAAACATGAGATGGTCACAGCCATCAGCGTAGAAGTATTCCCAGGAGTTCTGCAGACTGAGCAGAAGTATATAGGAAAATGGAGGGAAGCAATCGAAACAGAGATGAACATCAGACACAGCGAAACTTATTGTAGACCATCAGGAGCACGATATTTGGTGGGTTCAACGTTGGCTCCAATGTGCAAGAGCAGATACCCTGTACATTTTGTGGCTGTGGACGTGAAGAGTACAAGAACGATCGTGGATCAAGCTTTCTCAGTGCCAAAGTGCGTGAGATTGGCGAGAATGTCTGAAAAGTCTTACGAGTTACTATGTAAGATGTTCTCAGCAGTTCCAGAGAGAACCAAAGAGGAGTTGGAGTCAATACTAGGAAAGAAGTTCATGGGATATGTGAGCGGGAACTTCAGTGACTTTGAAAAACAGAAACAGAGAGGATCAACTGTCACAGATTACAATGCAGTAGACGAGAATGATGAAATCCACCGAGTGATGATGGAAGTGGAACCATTGCTGGAAGCTTCAGGAAAACGCAATTGGAGGAGCATCATGTTGACACATGACGAGTTTCCTTGCCACTGCTTGCTGCAGACCTGGTGGTATCCCAAGCGTAGTAATCTGGTGTTGATCTGGGACTCTGGAGAGCTGCTCTCCATGGGTTTACCAGATTCATCACAGCCCATAACAATAGTGATAGTGGGAGTTATGATGGCGATACGATGGCTGGAAGCTCATGTGAGAGAAAATAATGGACAGGAGGCACCGACGAGAGAACAATTGCAGAAATTAGATTGTCTAAAAGATTTAGATCTTTTTGAGACAATGTGCAAAATTCTAAACATTCCAATGGAAGTGAAGAAGATATGGGCAAGAAAACGATTGATGCCATGGTTCAGAGCTAACATGACTGCATGGTTGTACGAGTATGCGAAAAAGCATATGTCGAAGCATGGCAGAGTATACAGTGAATATCAGCTGGACATTGAGGCAGGAGCTTTCAAGCGAGCTTTCGTGACCCATCGGAATGCAGTGACCACCGCTGTGAAAAGAATTTCCAGGACGAGCGAGCGTAGTGGAAATGAGAAGGCAGAGATGCTGAAAGAAGATTTGGAGAGAAACGTGACGTTGTGTCTCCACAACAGCTTCTGTAGAAACAGAGAATCAAACGTGGATCCCCTACCTTGCTGTAAACAGAGGGTGGAAGAGCAGAAGTGTTGGAGGACGGCTTCCAACAGCGTCAGGATAGTCAATGACGTGCTACAAGACACGGAAACCGAAAGTGCGGAGTCAGTGTCACAGGAGGAGGAAATGGAGCATTGACGAATGGTCGAGAAAACAAGAGGCGGCAAGAAAGAAAATTAGAAGAATTTAGAAGTTTTAGAACTTCTAAACGACGAAAAAAGAGGAGAACAAAGGAATGATGAAGAAAAGTCAAAACTCAGAATTGTTTTATGTGTGTGAAAAACTCAAGTGAGAAACCAAGCAACCAAGTTGTAATTGAAAACTGAAACATTTTTGTTGAGTTTTGAAATTGTTGCATTTATAAATTTGCATTTTGGTTTTAGTTGAAGTGGCTTTAGAGACACTCACTTATTATTTATTTAGAAAGGCTTAAGAGGAGAGTATATTTAAATATTTCAGTCTGCATGAATGTTTTTAATCACTTAGGAAGACTGATCACTTTGTGGTGACATGAAAGACTTGAGTAATCTCTTGAAGAGGGAGGTTGTTACATTGTTCTTTCTAACCACAAAGTTTCTTGGTTTTAATATTCAGGACAATAAACAAGCAAGATTTCCGAAGGGAAGGAGCATAGTAGGATAATTTTAGCTTGTTGGTTGGCAGGACTGTCCTGCAAGCCAACACCTTTTAAATCTAGGAGAAAAAGCTTTAATCGGGACATTGACACTGGAAGTCAGAAAATATGTTTTATCTTAAGTCATATCCTCAGAGTGCAGATTAATGAGAGAATTTGAAGGCTATAGTGATGTAGTATGATGCCATTTATATTCTGCAGTGAGTCGATGTGACGTAGATAAAGGTAATTTCGTGCATTTTGTAAATTCTGTTCGATGACACTGTAACCATTTTTTGAACATAGTGCGATTCAATGAGGACATTGACCGGACTGTCCGGGGAGTATGTGACATTCGACCAGAATGGCCAAAATGCAATTTATGCAGACTTCGAATTTTTAGCAGTAAGCCTTCCGAGTTGATGATTTCGAAGGATTAACGACGTTATTCGGATGATTGGCAGAACGGTGAAGGTCAGGATATTCCCGTATTTTATAATTTTAAATTTTCGAAGAGATGACGTAACATTTCTGAGAAACGTCAGAAACTGCCATTTTAGAAAAAGAACTAAGAAAAACAGAACAACTTTATCTGTGATTGCGAACAGAACGAAAAATCGAGATTAAAGAAAAACGACAACGAACTACAATAGCAGAGAACGTTCCAAGTTGCAACTATTGTGCTGCTACAATAGTTGCAAGGCCGTTGCCAACAACGGTGAAGGGTGAGAACCAGCCTTCCGGATTGGCGTGAAATTGAACTTGAGGAGCTTGATTCACTGGATTCAAGAATCCGGAAGGGTTTCGGGACTGGAACTTTTAGCCTTTTATATAAACTTTTAGCTTCTTGTCATGTCCTGAATTGAATTTAATTAACAACTGGATTCATTTTGATAAGGATGAGAAGCTAGGAGTTGGGGGGAAAGGGTTGATCCATCTTCGATGGAGATGATGGTTTTTATCTACTGAACAAAAACAATAGTAATATAATAAGTAGTAGCCCTGTTTTTAGGAGTGACCTCGTGGTCTGGGGATACTGAGACCCAGCCATGAGCTCACTAATTTTGCATGTAATTCAGTTAATTTGAGCGTTCTGGTCGAAGCCGGAGAACAGTAACGTTTTTGTCGACCTGATGTAAGAAAGACCACCGAAAAGTACTGGCTTGGTAGAGACGGTTAAAAACATGCAAAGCTCTGTTTAGACGCTAGCCAGTCGTCTTAAGACTTAGTTTTGTTATCCGTCGATATGTATCTTCCGGGCGAATGTTACAACACCACCGAAAGTACTGACTTGGTAGAGACGGTTAAAAGCATGTAAAGCTCTGTTTAGACGTTAGCCAGTCGTCCTAGGACTTAGTTTTATTTTCCGTCGATATGTATCTTCCGGGCGAATGTTACACATGTGAGTCTTTTTAGGGGTTGATTTAGTTTTTAAAATATTATAAGTTCTTTTTTGAAAAGTTTTACGCGCTCAATGGATGTCTGCTAAAAGTTGCTGGGCTTTTAATTCACTTCATAAATTCTGTTTCGATGTAAATTTTAGTGTTCGTTTTCTGATTCAAGAAAAATTGAGCCAAAAATATGAAAATTTTAGAAAATCTTTTTTGTAAACTTAATCAGGTCAAAAATATTCTAGTAAACGAGGTTACAGTCACGAATCCCTTCATCGCATATTCAATTCAAAATCATATGAGTTTTCTAGACCTGGAAGAATTATTTTAACGTTAATAGAAGTAAAGAGAGTCAGATGGTTGGGAATCAAGCCAACCAGATAGAATACTAACACCACAGAATAAACCGGAGTTGAAAGAAACTGGAGTTGAAACAACTTTTTTTGATTAAGTGGCTTTCGTCGCAATTTACGCGTGATTGTAGGTCATGCTATTTTTGTTGTATCGCAATAGGTTCGACGCTCTGCTTCGCCTCTGTTTCTGAATCAGATTTTTTAAATTATTTTCGTTTTTGTTCTTTTTTCACCAATAAGATGAGAAGTCGGGTTAAGTTTTACGATCTTTCAGATGCATAAAATGGAGCGTGTTTTGTTATCTCGCCTCAAACGACATATAGATGGGACAAATACCGAACTGGCTCATTGCAATATTTCTGAACTCACAATTGTGCTAAGAGATATGTTTCCAGACTACCGTAGACTGAAAGAAAATGTTTTAAGCCGTTCTATTGAAACGGCATTACGTACTTTAAAGAAAAAACAGGAGATCGAATCTAAAATAAAGGCTCAAAATCAACTTTCAAACAACACAAACGGTGCTCTGACCTCATTGTATGCTAGAAACATAAAAGCTTCGTCGTCTGAAAACGAAGATAATCTTAGTAACTCCGCCGAGGACCAGTCAAAAGAACGAAACGTATCCGTCCCCAAAAGGTTACCTAAATTTGTTAGTAAACCAAGATTGATTGTACCTGTTATCAATTTTTCTCACATTGGAGGTCTATCATTCGCTGTCAGAAGGCTCTGCCAGTTTTCACTACAGTTTTTGCACTCTTCAGATGTCACAAATTTACCGCCCGCCTGCGGCTTACTAATAACTGGTCCCAGTGGATGCGGCAAAACTCTCATAGCAGAAGCTTTTTGCGGTGAATTTAATTTGAAGATGCTGAAAGTCAGCTGTCCTGAGCTAATTTCGGGACTGTCAGGAGATTCCGAGAATAAAATCCGAGAGATGTTTGAGTTCTGTAAAAATAACTCACCCTGTGTATTGTTCCTTGATGACATTGACAGCATTCTTCAAAAACGCGAGAGTTCGGGTAAGCAAATGGAATTTAGAATCATATCCCAGTTTGTGCATTGTTTTGACGACTTAATAAATAGTTACAAAGAATCGAAAGTTCTCGTGATTGGAACTACAACTTCTGGTGACATAATTGACCCAATGCTTAGACGTGCGGGTCGATTCGATACCGAAATTTCACTTGGCATGCCCAACATTGATGATCGCGTTGAAATTTTAAAAGCACTCAGCAAAGATGCGCCACTGGAGAAAGAATTGGACTTAGAATCAGTTGCTCTTTTCACTCCTGGTTTTGTGGGAGCCGATCTCAAAGCTCTTTTACGAGAAGCTGCTCTTATAGGATTTTATCGTACCTGTAAATTCGATCTGATATCAGATAATAGCAGATATGGACCTGAATACTCGATGTTGAAAAACGAAATGGTTACTATCGATGACAAAAACGAAAACAAAAATTTCCAAATACAGCTTGGCGATTTTCAACAGGCTGTTACTAAAATTCAACCATCATCAAAACGAGAAGGTTTCATCACAGTTCCTAATGTTTCATGGAATGATGTGGGAGCTTTACATGAAGTTCGCAAGGAACTGAAACTAGCAATTATTTACCCTGTGAAGCATCGTCACTTGTTTGACGCGTTTAGTCTCTCGGCTCCTCCGGGAATACTTTTAACTGGACCACCTGGTTGCGGTAAAACGTTGATGGCCAAGGCGGTCGCGAATGAAGCAGGAATCAATTTCATATCGGTGAAAGGTCCAGAACTACTCAATATGTATTTGGGGGAATCCGAACGTGCAGTCAGACAGGTAAATGCCAGAAAGTTTTTTTGGCCAATCGTGAAAAAATAATGAGACCAAAACTAAAAATTCGGACAAAATGTCAGCTGAAATTTTACAAACTAAAACAAGCTCTCAAGTTTTGTTAAAAATGGCTTTCAAAATTGTTCTCGTTGCCTCATTTTTAAATACATTTGACAGCCTCTTAGATATATATAATAATTTCGACAATGAGAAAAGAATCCAATTATATTAAGGTGCAATTTTGTTTGCTTCGATATTTTGTTTAATATACGCATGTTTACCCAAGTAGTACATTTAGAAAGGACAGACTTTTACTAAACTCCAGCTTCAATAGTTATATAATAAAACTAATATATATAATAAATTATTTTTAGGTTTTCAGTCGTGCTAAAAACTCGGCCCCCTGTGTGATCTTCTTCGACGAAATAGACGCCCTCTGTCCGAAGAGAAAAGACTCGGACCATGGTTCTAGAGTGGTTCAGCAATTCCTCACTGAGTTGGACGGTGTAGAGTCCAGAGAGGGTGTGTACATTCTGGCAGCTACGAACAGGCCAGATGTGATTGACTCGGCACTTTTGCGGCCAGGCAGATTTGACAAAGTTTGTTTTATTTTGGTTCATCAGCTGTGGCCGAGTGGGTAAGACGCGCGGCCTGTAACCCAAAGGTCGTGCGTTCGAATCCCACTTCGGTCACGGTTGGAGGGGTCCCAATGTCACCCGCTTTGTCAAGGTGGACCGGCAGCGGTAAAAATGGTTGACATCTCTCTCCCCCACGGAATAAAAGGTCCAAAAGGTTGAAGGGTGGGAGCTGGGAGGGGGTTAATAAAAAAACAAGGTTTAATGTAAGTTCGCTAAATCATGCCGGCTATGGATGACTGATAAGCGCTTTCGCAGTAGCGAAGTGGAAAAATATGAGGATTTTTCAAGAAAGTTTTAATTTTAAGTCTACCGGAAGCGTCGGAAGGCTCAATTTGTTTGCCGAAAATTTCCATTATCTCAAACTTCTTAATTTAAGCAGACATGAACAAAATTTCATTCTATGGAATCCTTTTCAAAATACAAAATGCCTCATTTTGACTCGGGTTTTTAGTCATCATTCATGAGTTTGGTTTGTTCCGAATTGGCTTATAAATTAAGTTATTTTGTACTTAGATACTACCTGTGCCGATTCCATCGGCAAGCGACCGCTTGGACATCTTGCGAGCATTGACTAAAAATGGAACCCAACCTTCGTTTTGCAGCGAATGCAAGCTAGAGGATATAGCTCAGCATAAAAAATGCGTTAACTTCTCAGGAGCTGATTTGGCGGCCTTAGTAAGAGAAGCTTCATTAATTGCTCTTCAAGAAATCCTGATAGAACTCGATTCAGATGATGCAATGGCAACCGAATCAAGGCTGAAAGAGAAAAGCCTTGCCTCTAAATGTGTGGTCTCGAAACATCATTTTGAAAAAGCTTTCTTGCAAGTTAGAAGTTCAGTTGAGAAATCAGATTTTGCATACGCGCAATTCTTCAATAAAAAGTCTTAAAACCTGTTTTTTTTTTCTTAATTTTCCATAACTCCCAAATTTCACCAAAGTTTAATTGTGTTTGACAGAAAATTATAACTTTGCGGCTTTGTCTTTTCAAAGAGTACCAAATATGCATGGTAAATGTTTGAATTTGTGGTTAAATATTAAGACGAGTTTTGCGTCATAGCAGTAAAGCTGACGTGTCCTTTTCTCAAGCGTTGATGTGTAAAGATGGTATTAGAGCACACAATACACGACTGCATGACGTTGTAAGCGAAAAGTGGAATATATTGAAAGAAAGTTACATTCTAATGGACAATTCTTTCCTTGCAATTTGTACAATTGATTAAAAATTCAGTGAGTTTCGGAAAATTGTCACAAAAATAGTTTTATCGAATGAAAAATTAGTCAATGTGTTTAAACTAATCGGGTTTGCATCAATTATTGATAATAGTTATTGCACGGAGTTAGTACCTTTCTGCTAAGATTTTTAAAATCTCGAATATTTCTTTCTTTTGAACAACAACAGAGGCGTGATTATTCTCAAAAAAATAGGTGGTCGCAATTTTTATATAATTACAGACAATTGATCAGCGAACTAATTATTTTGGAAGAAACAACTATTATTTTCAGTTTGACATGACTCGGTGCTGTAGTAGCGGTGGTCGTACAGGCGGCGGTAGTTTATCATCGCCATGGTCGGCCCTCTTACCATTGACCTCCTCACCGGTTAATTACGTCATGCTAGCCCTGTTCGTCGTCTGCTCATTCTTAGCTGTTCCTTCCCACTCAGTGGCTGTTATTTCTATCGACTTGGGCAACGATTTCTACAAGGTAATAATCATATCTTAATTTAAAACATTCCGATCATATATAGCGTTTACGTTTGGATACTCAGAACAACAAAAATGACGGAGTTACTCGCGTATTATTTATTGTTCCGACTTTCGTAATGAAATTAAACAGAATATTTGTGCTCGGGGTGGTTTTTTTTTCTTCAAACAAATTTCGACTTTTTAACTAGCCATTTTTGACGGAATTATTTTATATCATTCAAAAGCACCAGTGGATGGGGGGGGGGGGGTGGACCCAAAGGGTCCCCCCTTTATACTTTTTTGATATATCTATTTTTGGTGACCGACCCTAAAATTTTTCTAAAGGCGCCTCTGGCGCCAATATATACTTATAATGAGTGGCAGAGCGCGTCGAAAAAATCCTAAGATCGGCACCTGTTCAAAAGGTATTGTTGTCCTGAGATCGTTTTTCTTAAAGTTTTTGTTCCGACTTCCGTAACGAATGTAATAGAATTTTGTGCTTGGGTGTGTTTTTTTTCAGACGAATTTTGACTTTTTAACTAGCCATTTTTGACGGATTTTTTTATCATTCAAAAGGTATTGTTGTATACAGTGCTGATTTAAATTAACCGGAGAAAACGCGTTAAACTTGAAAATTAAAACGCGTTTTTCTCAAATTAGGTTAAGATTAGACAAAAGGTGAAGAGAACAAAAGTTGCTTAGAATTTCATCAAAATTAATATGGTGCAATTTTTTCTTCGAAATTCTCAACCAAAATTTTACCCCAAAAATGGGTCATTTTGGCTTTTTTCAATTAATCAAAAATTACACTGAAACTACTTTGTTAATTGATGAGAAAATTATATCACAAGAAGCCTTCTACATAGCCCAACAAAGTTTAAGAGAGGTTAAATCTCCAAAACTTTGCCCAAATTGTGTAAAAATTGTTTTAAAACAGAGATTCTGGGTTTTATATAATAAAAATCACATTTATTGACTCAAGTAATAACTTTTGCTCTTATACTGGTATTTGGAGATTTAACCCTTCTTAAACTTTGTTGGGCTATGTAGGAGGCTTCTTGTGATATAATTTTTTCATCAATTAACAAAGTAGTTTCAGTGTAATTCTTGATTAATTGAAAAAAGCCAAAATGACCCATTTTTGGGGTAAAATTTTGGCTGATAATTTCGAAGAAAAAATTGCACCATATTAATTTTGATGAAATTGTAAGCAACTTTTGTCCTCTTCACTTTTTGTCTAATCTTAACCCAATTTGAGAAAAACGCGTTTGAAAATTTAAGTTTTGTTCGTTTGATCCGGATAATTTAAATCAGCACTGTATAGATTAAATTCGAAAAGATTTTTTACCTGTGATTGTTTTTCGTAAAGTTATGGGGGTTTAAAGATTGCCAGTTTGGGACAATTAACGCGCGATATATTTCGCGCTAATAACGCGTAAGCGGAAATTTAATCCGTCTTAGAAATCGTTCCAAATTAGTTAAAGGAAGCTTGTTTGCCATAATTGATTTGTTACTAGGAGCGAAATCTATCACTTTGTACTTTATGTGGCGCGTGGTGAGATGATTTTCACAAAAATTCGCAATTTAAAAAAAAATCCTATTACATTCAATTTTTTAATGTTCTTAATGCTCCATAGACTTAAAAGGCAGTCGGAACATTCAGGGCTTCAACCTGATACGATTAGTCTTGTTGCATTTCAAAATTTATTGCATTTCAAACGACGAATGATATTGCATCAAATGTAATTAACTTATTTTATGAAGTTGGTTGTGTAGATTATCTAAAACTTATTTGCAGAGTTTTGATTAATAATTGATTCTTCTTAGTCATTGTTCATTCCGCTCACGGCCTGGAAGGGTTTTTAACGGCGGGTTTTAAGCAACATCTCGCAACTGAAATAGAACTTGCATGTGGACCAAATGTGGTGTTGTTTTGAAGGCTTTTCAGCCGTGATTGGGATTTAGATGTTTCAAATTTTTTTCTGAAAAGACTTAAGTATTTGGAAAAGATAAAGTTATTCGCGTATTTTACCGCAGGAGATTGGCTGAAAGATTACAGACTCAATCTGATTTAATTATTGTCTTGACTTTATTTTTTCCATTATGACAGAAATTTTTGACAGAAATTAATCGCCAATCAATCCTAAATCTTTCGATGAAATTGACTCTGACGAACTATTTGTGCTCGGGTGTGTTTCAATTTTTGTACGCACAATATCAAATAACACGAATAATCATCGAAATGGGTCGAGTGACATTATATTCTGAACAATAGGTTTTATGCAATAGTTTGTATCTTATTATTGCAGCATTTTTAAATAATTTCGAACGGACCTGTAGCTCCAATGGTGCTCTCCTAGGCAGTAAAATTGTCGGAAGGGTTTGTTAAATTATGAACTAACCACAATGGAATTGCCTGAAAACAAATTTTTAACCTTATTATAATAATTTTATAAAGGTAAATTGTAAAAGGTAAATTTGTTTCAAAGGTAAATGCCTTTCAGTTTAGGTACGGTCGTGCACAAGCTGGATAGCGGCCATACTAGCATTATATAATTACATCAATAAACAATATTGCAGGAATTAAGTCAAGTCAGCATTTAATGCGTTGTCATTAAAGGTATTTACTTCAACCGTCCCTCCTCTATAATAGCACTAATCGAATTGTCTATGAATTGCGCCTCACGCAGTGATCTGTACCCCGTATACAAAAAGTAGCGCCCCTGAACAGCGCGAAGCTTATCTTAGTTCTTATATAGTTTTTTGTTTCTGGGTAGCTTTCATGCCTTTTTTCACTAAGTTTTTCAGCTCTGCGCTGCATTGCCCGTGTAGCTGCTGGTGCGGTACCACCAGTGCAGCCAAAAATGAGCGGGCAGAAGCTGCTCTGTTCGACTGGTACAACTATCTGTTGATATTTTGAGTTTCTTAGTGATTCGTGGTACTTAGGCGTCTTTCAGTCATCTTCGTGAAGTTTTTGCGTGCGGGTTGAAGACTTTGACAGCAATGAAGGTTCGGCTAAACCTTGAGCCCCATAATCCGTCTGCTTTTACATCTAGTGGAGCGTCTTCGTCAGTTGGGCTCTCGCCTTGCAACGACTGAGGTTTCGGCTCGGTTTCAACATCATAGCAAACCTCGCTCATGAGGTGGGCGAAGGTATCTCTGATTTCGTCATTCCTCATGTGGGTGTATCCACCCTTCGCAGAGTAAAGGGCGTGTGTAAGGTCGAAAGATTGATTACATGCACATGTGAGTTGGTTGGTTCCCATCCATATCTGAGATAAATTTCATCCCGGAATTCGGATTTATTTAGGTTGAAATTATATCTGCTAAGTGGCAGTGCGTTTAACCAGTTTGAGGCTCCTTTTTCGGAGGCTAGCTCAAGTGCGTATTTTTCACTGTCACTCAAGTTTTTTGAAAATGCTAGTTCTCTTTTGGTTAGTTTTCTCAGCTTTAAGTGTTTAAATTTTTGTATAGATTTTTTCTTGCTCCGATATAGCTGTTAATGGGTCGTTTGTGTCTAAGACTGACGATGTTTTATTTGAGAATTCTAATAAGTTCTCATTGTCAGAAGGTAGCTTGATTTTTAGACCACCCATTTTTAGTGGCAAAGAAGCGATGTCTCTAAGTTGATGGCTAATATTATCTTTACCAATGAAATTTGGAATGAGATTTTCCTGCAGTATCTTCTCGCAGGCCTACATGTTTTCTGGTATTGGGGGTAGTTCTAGCTAAAAACGATTATTTTTCTTGTACCCCCTTGGTGTACACGTTTTGTGGTGACGTTTTTACGATCTTGGCAAGTTTTTTGCAGTATTTTGTTTGATCTTCTGAGTTTTTAAGAAAGTTCTACTTTCAGTCTCGGATCCTATGACAGAACCGAGTACTCTGGTCCCTTTCTTCATTTCAATGTCGGTATTTTTGAATACTTTTATCGCCTCATTGTGTTTTTCATCTTTCACAATAAGCTAGCATTTCGATGCGTTTACATGATATCCAAAATATTTTTATTGTTTGATAATGTTGCCAAGAACTGTTCGCAGGCTTTTCAAATTTCCGACTGCGTTCCCATCGTGTGCATACCATTTCCGAGTTAAGCTGTTATCGTTGACTAGTTTCATTAAAAGTAAAGTGGCTAGCCCGTGCGTCGGCATTGCTAATGGGTCCCATTGAGTGGTTACTTCTCTAGATAGGATAACTTTTTTATTTTACGAAGAGTATGAATGGATTAGAGTATGCGTTCTGTATAGCGGGTAGTATAGATGGGCATATATTTGCAATGTTTTTCAAAGCCAGGTTCCGGTTCTGGAAGTAAGATGCATTTTTAGCGTCTTTCAGTAATATTGCATCGGAATCTGTTTTCTCGTATTGCTTCCTAAGCGTATGATTTGCATATTCGATGCCACATTTTTGGCCAAGGAATAGTTGGTAATTCGATCCGAGGTTTAAGTTCGCTTTTAAAGCACTTAGAACCAGGTGTTGTCATGGCAGCCTTACTAATTTTCTGAGCGTTTATTTGGTCGAAAGTGGATGAATGGAAAGGGATTGTATCTTCGGAGCATGATGTTATATAGTTGCTGTTCATAGGCTCCGTGTGAGGGTGTTTCTCAATGAGGATTTGCTCAACAGTTTGACCATTGACGTTTCCTCGAGTGAGAGAACTCACTTGGAGGTATCAGTTAGTTCAGCAATAGCACTCGATATTTTTCCAGTGATCATTAATTTATTAAATTGCTGTGCTTCAGTTTCTACTTTTTCTTACTTTTTACCATCTTCATTTGCAGCGCTTTTCCCTCATTAAAAAGTTCGTCCAGTTTGCCCTTATGTTATCGCTTAAGCTTTCTTGCTATGGTTTTGGAGTTCGATTCATCACTATCCGATTTGGTTTTGCATAGCATGAGGTGAGTTTGAGGGAATATCATTGTTGCGTGCATTGCGTACGTTTTGTCTCGTGTTTCAATTAACGAGTTGAAGGTTCTATTTAGAGTTTCTATAAAGCTAAACGTAACTGTTCTTTGCGAGGATTCATGAAGACTGGTTTCCAGTGCACTACTTGGCTGTAGATTGTTCTTATTTTATTTTTTCAGGTGTGGGATTTCACCAGGGGTCGGGTGTGGCTGTTACAGTTTTGTTGCTGCTTGCAATTGCAGGATTTTAGTCGAAGTAGCTTGTTGAGGCTGAGTTGGAGGGACTTGGATGTCACTTGTAGTGTTGTCTGTAATCAGGAAGGCGCTGCAAATGAAGCGGAAATTGTCATCGTGGTCGCTGCCTCGGTTAAGGCAGATGGATTTTACATGAATGTAGGCTGCGCATGTTGTGCAACAAATTCCACGGCCGCGTAGGTGGTTGTTACATATGATAAAATGTGTTTGATCGGACATTGTGTGAGGAGGAATGGTATCGCCAGATTATCAAGCGAATTTAGAAATAATATAGCAAGGAAATTTGTAAAGAATTCACTACCAAATAACGAGAAGCGGATGCCGTCTCGGCATAACATATGAGTTAGATTTAAGTTGAGATTAGGCTCGGATTAGATTTAAGTTGGGCTAGGTTTAAGTTGAGATTAGGCGAAACAATGAGTGTTTGTGGATGAACAATCCAAGTTAAACAGCTCATGGTTATGAATAAAGAGTTTGCGACTAACATCATTGTTATCGGAGCTCTGGATTGTTTTAGGGATGATTAAGGTTTTGGGCCGAAACTTTTTTGTAATTAGATGAATAAGTTTTTCCACTTTAGCTCAACTTCTCTAGGATGCAGCCTATTGTCATTAAACCCGGCGATAATTGTTACTGTATTATGCTTTGGTATGTTTTGTAAAACTGTTTCATACAGATCTTGGAGTGTGGCGCCGCAGTAAGAGTGAATTGTAGATTTTACTAGAGCTGGTTTGATATATCTCATCCTTGATGTGCCAATTACAAGCTTCTGTGAAAATTCAGGCGTGCGCCTTGCCTGGAATCGGGGCATCCACCTGAAACACAGACACCGAAGGCAATGGAGAAGCTCTTAAGTAGAAAGATAGGGGGTTGGTTGGGCAATGAATCAAAGAGTTAAATTTAAATCTGAGAGTTAAAAAAAATGAAAAATTGATAGGTGGGAACGGTACAACTGTGGTGTTGTTGAAGGGTAGTTACACTTGCTCACTCCGTCTTGCGTCTAGATACACCAGGGAAGCTGCACTCGCCAACGGCTGGGACGGCGAGATTTGGTAAGATAATCAGAAGAGAAAAGCCCAGCGCGCATATGATATGAAAACACACTAGATGTCAATTTGAACGGTCAATTTAATAAGTTTATCACAACAATTAGGCTACATTGAATTGAAACATTAATTTAAGCAATTACCAAAATACAATTGCAATCTCGCGTACAAAAATGTAGAAACCGCGAAATTTGCGCGATTTCATGAAATGCTCATTTTATACAGAATCAATTTTCATGCTTGGGAAAGTCATTCTACAGATAGTTTGTTTTATCAATGTTTAAAAGCAAAATTGGTTAAACCGATTTGGTTAAAAATGTTTTAATTGGTTAATTTTTAAAAAAAAATCGGCTTTACTTTTTTAACGGGATTTCACTGCTGACGGTTGTTTAGATTGGACTGGTGAAACCGGGAGTGCCGATGGAGATAGTGTTGAACAGTGAGTCGAAGAGGAAGACCCCCACAGTTGTCACTCTCAAGTCTGACGAGAGACTCTTCGGAGACCCCGCCATGAATGCGGGAATTAGAAAGCCAAACACCATGTTCACACACTTCCTCGACTTGATAGGTTAGATCTTCAGCTAGGTCCAAAGACTTTGTAATTCATTGTTATTTTTTATAATGAATGGTTCTGGTGGCTTTTGGGTGTTTTCGACTGTTTCCCCAAAACTGACTTCATGAGATTGGAAAGTTTTATTTCTAATGATGTTATTTTGGTTCTAGGTGTTTGTAGCTGTGTGTTCACTGTTTGCTTAAATTAGTATTTGGCTAACCTTCTTTCGTGTTTGTCTGGAAGTCAGCGCTGATTTTTTCCCAATTCCAAAAGTTCCGCATTCAATTTTGAAAATAGTTCATTTAATGTTAGTTTAATGTATTTTGTTTTCAATCGAAACTTCTATTAATGATTATCTTACTTGTTGAAAATATTGGCTAAATTGAGACAACCTATTACGTTGAATTTGATCTGAGTTTTATCACAAGACGTATAAAATAGCGACGCAAAATATCGTTAATTGACGATTTTGTCTTCTTTTATCAGGCAAGCCCATAGACCATCCTACAGTAGAGACATACAAGTCACGATTCCCACACCACAAATTAGTGGCCACAGAAAGAGACACAGTCCAGTTTAAGCTAAACGAAGACGCCTTCTACACAGTGGAAGAACTACTAGCCATGTTGTTGAATAACTCCAGAAACTTGGCCAGTGACTTCGCCCAGGACTACGTCACGAGTGCCATTGTGACTGTGCCTGCTTACTTCACACAAGCGGAGAGGAGAGCTGTGAAAAATGCAGTGGAGATTTGGTTAGTTGTTTTCTCAAGTTGTAGTTTAGACATGGAGACCGATCGTTTAGCATAAAAAGTGAAAAGTGAGTCTTTTAGCAGACCAGCGTTATAAACTGATGGATGATTGATTGGCAGGCTCAAAAAGACGCTCAGACAACTTCAAAAACGCAACAGTCTAAATTATCGGCAAAATAAAGATTTACGCGCACAAAAACACTTGTTGAATTGAAGCGCAGCGGAGCAAGCGGTCGCTAATCGCCAATGCCGCGTTTGAAGTTAGCTATCTGACTTCATAATTGTTCTGAGTCAGCTAAAAAACCGGTCTGCTAAAATCCCTAGACCCTTTAGACATACCAGCTTGTATTTATGTTAAGCGTCAATGAAAAAAGTGATCAAAGCACTTATTTAGGTCGTGCGGTTTTTTTAAAGAGAATGTAAGGTGTTCACGATCAAGATTAATTTTTCGCGGTTTGAATTTTGAATTTGTTCGATTTAATTTCATTTTCTAAAAGGGAAAATTACCTCGTCCAACAACAAGGGAAAATGGCGGAAAAACGTAATTGACTTTAAGTTTTTGATAGTGTAGTTAAGTGTTTAGATTTCCTAGCGGGCGGAAAAATTTTACATTTTGGCCCAGCTTTCCAATATTTTTGTTTTCAAAAATTTGTGTCGGTAATAAAAGTTTTTCGAAAATGATAAAAGTTTCTAGAAGAGCATTTCGGCTTTGTTTTTCTTTGATCGGTCGCTTTCTCATTTTTCTTGTTCACTGGTAATTTTTCAGTTGTCTGTTGGCTATGTTCTCAATCGAAATGAAAGCAACAGATGCATGAATTTCATTTTTTACGAAATACAGTGCTGATTTAAATTAACCGGACAAAACGGGTTAACGTTTAAATTTAAAACCCGTTTTTCTCAAATTGAGTTGAGTTTAGGTGAAAATTTATGAGAACAAAACTTGCTTAAAATGTTAGCAGAATTAATAAGGTGTAATTTATTTTGCGAAATTCGGGCCCGAAATTTTACCCCAAAAATGGGTCATTTTGGCTTTTTTTTACTTAATCAAAAATTACGCCAAAAATACTCGGACGATCACAGACATAATTATATCAAAGTGAGCCCCTTACGTAGCCCAACAAACTTTAAGAGGGGCATAACCTCCAAAAAATTGTATAAAATATTTTATTTTTGTTTGATAGACAAAAAAGGTCGTTTTTACTATATGAAATACCAATTTTTTATTTAAAAACAATTTTTAAACAATTTGCAATATTTTTTGGAGAAAATACCCTTCTTAAAATTTGTTGGGCTACGTAAGGGGCTCACTTTGATATAATTATGTCTGTGATCGTCCGAGTATTTTGGCGTAGTTTTTGATTAAGTAAAAAAAAGCCAAAATGACCCATTTTTGGGGTAAAATTTCGGGCCCGAATTTCGCAAAATAAATTGCACCTTATTAATTCTGCTAAAATTTTAAGCAAGTTTTGTCCTTATAAATTTTCACCTAAACTCAACTCAATTTGAGAAAAACGGGTTTTAAATTTCAAGTTTAACGCGTTTTGTTCGGTTAATTTAAATCAGCACTAGTCTGTCGGTTTGTCTATAGTAATTCACAGTAATTCTGGTGATCTCAGATATTCAAGCTATAGGGAACAAATAAAATTATCATAATAATTGTTGTTTCTTAAGAGTAATGAATGTAGTAAGTACTCAATAGGTCGTGGTGATTTTTTTTTGGTTTTCAGGCTAGAATTTGTTTTTTTGTGGTTGGACTTTGATTTTTGTTTCAGGTTCAGTTCATTTGTTGAAAGGAAGGCAAACTTCACTAGATTTATAGATTTTCCAGCGGAATGAAAACTTTACATATTGATCTAGCTTTCTCCAATTGGGTTAATTTTATCAAAAAAGCGCCAATCATAATTTGTTCGTGAAATTCAAAGATTTTTACGGGCATCTATTTTTTCTTTCGCAAGTTTTTTTCTTTGCGTGCATTACTCTGTTTCAATTGTCAGTTGCCTAATTTTTGCTTTGTTTTGCTGTGTAGTGGTCTGAAGTTACTGCAGCTGATGTCGGACAATGCGGCCGTGGCCTTGAACTATGGTATCTTCAGGAGGGACGAGTTCAAGGACACCTCCACTCACATCATGTTCTTCGATATGGGCGCCAGTGCCACCAAGGTACCAAACGAATTCTTGCATGACTAATTATTGTATTCAATTAATTATGCTACGGCGCTTTTTTCACAAATTTTCTATACTTGGAAATCTGAATACAGATCGTCAAACGTCGATAAAAAGATAATTGCTAGGCAAGATTGTGATCTTTAACCTTGTAATGTTAATGTTAGAAGTGGGATTCAAAATTATGAAACGTTTTCATCATCACGTAACTCTAAGATGATAAGTCACGGTGAAAATGGTTCTCTGTTTTGGATGCCACTTCAAAAATTGTTATTATAAGTTTGAAGATCACAACCATGCCTCGTAAGGGTGCTATATCGATATGTGTCAATTTGTTACATCATTTTCCGCTCTGTGTATTTCTTGAAATTTATATCAAAGATCACTGCTGCGTTACTGTAAAAAGGAGATTATCTGAATTTCGACAATTTTCCTGAGATTTTGACGAGTATTTACAATTTGATTTGTTTAGGCTTCGGTAGTGGAGTACAAAACGGATAAAATAATTGAAAATGGAAAAGCTGAGTTGCATCCCCACCTCTACATCAGAGGGTTCGGATACGACAGAAAACTGGGCGGGTCAGAGTTCGACTTCAGACTGAGGGACTACCTAGCCGAACAGTTCACCAAGCAGAAAAAGACCTCAGTTCCGATTAAAGAGTCGCCGAAAGCGATGGCAAAATTGCTAAAAGAAGCAAACAGAGTTAAGCAGGTTTTGAGTGCAAATACAGAGCATTATGCGCAGGTGGAAGGCTTGCATGAAGAGCAAGATTTTAGATGTCAAGTTACGAGAACTATTATGGATGAGCTTTGCGCAGATTTGTATGAACGAGTAAAAGAACCTATTGATATGGCTTTGAAAATGGCAGACATTTCATTGGAAAATATAGAATCGTTCATAGTTTTCGGAGGAAGCTTCAGGGTTCCGAGAGTCCAAGACAAACTCCTAGAAATCTTGGATGGAAAGAAAGAGATTTCGAAAAATATCAACGCAGATGAAGCAGCAGCGTTAGGCTCAGTATATCAGGCTGCGTTTTTGAGCTCGGCTTTTAGAGTGAAACGATTTGTTGCCAAAGATGCTTCTGTTTTTCCAATCGATGTCTCATTCGATAGAGTTTACACCGACGAAAGTGACGGGCAAACAAAAATAAAAAGTGTAGATCGAACTATTTTCAATAAAATGAACGCATATCCCATCAAAAAAGCGATGACGTTTAATAGAATGAACGATGATTTTTCATTTTCGATGAAATACTCGAATTTGAATTTTGTGCCAGAATCGGAGCTCTCAAGATTAGGTCCGACTAATTTGGCGACAGTTGCCGTTAGCGGAGTTAAAGAGATTTACGATAAAAATATGAAAGAAGAGAATGTCACCGATAAAGGGGTTAAAGCACATTTCAAGCTCGACGATAGCGGCATGATTGAAATTGTAGGCATTGAAAGTAATTTCGAGAAAGTTGTTTTCGAAGAGAAAAATGTTACCGTAAAATCAGAGAAAAGCACGATTGAGAAGTTGACAGATTCGATATCGAATTTCTTCGGAAACAAAGAAAAGAAAGGCGAAGGAGAGGGAGAGGGAGAGAGTGATCAACCATCTGAAGATATTCCAGATGAAAAGCCAGAAAAACAGGAGGAAGAAAAGGAAAAGAAGGACTCAACCGAAACTGAGAAACCGACCGAAAGCAAAGAAACGACTGAAAATAAAACATCTTCGAATGATACTGAAACTAAAAATGGAACTGAAGTTCCGACCGAAATAATTGAAAAGAAAGTTGAAGAGAAATTAGTCCCAGTAAAAGAAAATTTGAAATTCACAATTGAAATTAAAGATTCAATTCTGATGACTGAAGCTGACATTAAAAAATCAAAAGAAAAATTGACACAACTCACTTTGCGTGATCAGGAAAAATTAGAAACAGCAAAAGCCTTGAACGATTTGGAGTCTTTTATTATTGGACAACAGGAAAAGTTGGATGATAACGAAAATGCAGCTAAAGTTACTTCGGAAACCGAGCGAGCTGAACTGTTCGGAAAATTATCGGCAGCATCCGAATGGCTTTATGACGAAGGAATCGGACTCAGTTCAGTCGAGTACAAAGCGAAATTAGCCGAACTGAAGAAAGAATTTAAGCCCGTTTTCACAAGACTTCAAGAAATGTCGGAGCGTCCAAAAGTTGTCGCAGCCTTGCTTGATATAATCAACCGAACTGAAACATTTTTGAATATTTCGTCAAAAATGCCCGAAGATTCGCAGATTTTCACACCTGTTGAAATAGAAACTCTGAACAAGTCTTTGATAGAAACTCAAGGTTTTTTGAAAGAAAGTTTGAAGACGATTGAAGAGGCGAATCCACACGACATGCCGCCAGTTTTGGTTTCAGATATGAAAGCGAAATACTCAAACTTAGAACGAGATTTGATGTACCTAGTGAATAAAATGAGATATGCAAAACCTAAGCCAAAAACTACAAAAGCGCCGGAGAAAAATTCCACAGATGGTCCGGATGTGGAAGAAGATAATGAAGAAGAAGAAGAAAAATCAGCCGAAGATTCCGGGGAAAAGAAAACCGAGGCAGATGAGAAACCAGAGACACTGGAGCTACCTGGCGCGGATCCGGAGACACCGGAAAGCGCAACTGAACAACCTAACGAACCATCGGAAAACGACGACTCGACTCCGAGAACTGATTTGTGATTTGAAAGAATTGTAAACTGAATTGTTGTAACAAAGTGACTTCCATCACCTGGACTATTTAATTGTTAAGGACTTTTCAACTTTTTGTGAAGCAGATAAAAATGCTTTGAAGTTGATTACAACTAAAAAAAATAACACCATTAGGAGCTGAATAAATCATTCCAAGAACTCAAGTCCATCATTTATTGCTAATTTTTGAGAATATCGATGAACCCTGATTGTTAAACTAGTGAAAGTTTTGGGCTAGTTATACCTGAAATTGAACTGTAAAGAAAGCTTAATGCGTTAAAACACAACCGGTGCTCTTAAATGTTTTTTCCTGAAAAGCTTAAGAATTAATGCAACCTTGCAAGCCTCCCTACTGAATTTTATTTAAAGGGTCTTGTCCGTGATTTGGCCAAATTTCTTAATAATGTCTTCGTATGTTTCAAATCCATATCGTTAAAAGTTGCGTGTTATTTAAGTATCAATGTAAGTATTTTGAGGGCTTGTGTATAATTTTATGATAATGTTTTCGTTAATTGATTTTCCAGAAGTAATTTCTAATGAGAATAGCGTTATCTTCATGAAACTTTCATAAATCGAATTGAGAGTTATGCTTCTTACTTGATCAAAAAATCTTAGGGTTGCGAATGAAGAGAAGCCCGAACAATCCAAGTTGAAACCTAAAATGAAATGATTTGGTTTTATGCGTTCAGGGGCGGATCTATGGTTTTCTCGAGAAGCAATCTATGGTTTTCTCGAGAAAATATTGTCGACCTTTTTTTGTAGGTCGTCCAAATTATTGATTTTCTGAGCTCTCGTAAAACACTATAAAGACCCCATTTTTAACAAATTTTCTGCGCCGCAGGCAAAATTTTGAGAAAAAAAAACGCCAAAAAGCGATTTTTGGAAAATTTTGACCAAAAAATTGCGTTATTTTTTGTAGCGCGCTCCCCTCTCAAAATGCCCTCCCCCCCCTAAATTCGCTGGTATATGCGTTTTAAATTAAATTCCAATTAAGTTTATGAAAAAATTGAAATGATTTGATTTTATGCGATGCAACCTAAATTCCAAATAAGTTCCGGAAAAAAATGAAAGTATTTGATTTTATGCGATGCAAATTAAATTCCCATTAAGTTCCGGAATTAAATGAATTTATTTGGTTTTATGCGATTTAAATTAAAGTCCCAAAAGCAATAAAAAAGCGCTCCAAGTTTGGATTGGTTTGACATTAGGTTTGACGCCTTGGTGCGAGTGTTAAGAAAATTAGCGCAATCAAATCCAATGACTAAGAGGCGATGTACGTAGATCAGACTCTTATTAAGTCGAGGAAATTTTTCGTTTTTTTTTCAATACGTCTCAAAATTGTTCATGCTCGAAAATACTTTCGAGTTTTCACTTTAGATATCTGGAAGTTCAGTTCATTTTTTTTGTTAAAATGCAAGCAAAATCCATTATCGAACAGTAAAAGTGTAAAGGCCAGGGAAAATGTGATCGGCTTGTAGTTTTGCTTAAAAAAGTAATGTAGAAAAACCAAACTTGCGGGCATCTCATCAAAAGATTATCTGATCAGTGAATCATAAATTTTTGAAGCAAAAACCTGATGTTTGAAGTTTTTGCTGTAACATAAAATGCTACAAAAGTTGCTGCGGTTGTATCTGGGAACCATAATTTCCGCTGAAGAATTAGGAAGCAACTACTCTCATAATAAAGACAAAAAATATCCCAAATTGACTGACAATTTCGAGCTCATATCGATAGCAAGCGGTTGTTTGAAAACATGACAAAATTGTCATCTTAACAAATATCTAATCCTCTTAAGTCAATTGATTTAAGAAACCTCTAAGTCCACAATTGCCAATTCTTGATGTAAATTTCTGAAACAAACACAAAAAATTTTTTCGCGGATCAGTCTTTGTCGAAGCTACTAGCAATCATTTCGATTGATAAGATTATCATAATAAAAAAAGCTTAGAACCGTGAAGTTATATCAAAACGCTATATAATAGGCATAAACTTTTTCATCATCAACTTTTCACTTGAATTTCTTACAGATAAAATCAGGTCATTTCTTTTGCTAAAACTAAGACAAACAAACTCCACTATAAAACAGCGAATACATAAAAGTCACAAAAAACCTGATTGATTTCTAGTTTCAAAAATTAAATTTAATTATCGAATTTCCCAGCCAAATAACAATTTTGAAATTTTTTATCATTCATTAACGTATTAACGAAATTGTATATGACTAATGTTTCGTTTTCGGCTTAATGAAGGTCGACAAATGTTTTTGGGATGTTTTCCGCTCGGCCCTTGATTCCAGTATATCAAAAAAGAATGAACAAAAAAGCGATGTTTGAAATTTCTGCTGTGACTTAAAATGCTACAAAGTTGCTAAAGGGATATCTGGGAACCATGATTTCCGCGGAAGCTTCAGGAGGCAACTACTCTTTCAATAAAGTCAAAAGTATCCCTAAAGGACTGAAAGATTTAGGCTCATATCGATAGCAATTGGGAGATGGAAAAATTGACAAGACTACCTAAACAACTTTAATCTAACCATGATCTCCAGAACCTCTCAAGCAATAGTCAATTTGATTTAAGAAACCTCTAAGTCCGCAATTGCCGAATCTTGATGTAAACTCCTTAAGCAATTAATAAAAACTTTTTGCTGCTCAATCTTTGTTGAACCTACAATCAATCATTTCTGTGAAAAAAGATATCTTAGTAAAAAAAACTAAAAATGCGAAATTTAATCAAATAAATATACAAAAAAAAACACATTTTTCACCATAAGCTATTGGTTTGAATTAATTACATATCACGAGCTACTTTGATTTTTGTAATCCTTTGAAAATCAGACATTTTTTTGCTAAAATGAAGACAAACGCCACTATTGAACAGCGGAACGTAAAAATCAGGAAAATGTGATAAACTTCTGTTTCGAAATTGGAATTTATTTATCGAAAATCCTAACGAAACAAACATTTTAACTAACAAGGCAGTTTTCTCAAATTGGGTTAGCTTATCAAAAAATGCCAAAATAAAATTGATCTTGAAATTCAAAAAGCTTCAAGGCCATTTTTTGAAACTCAAAAAATGAGAGTTTTTCAATTGGAAGTCCCAATTTTTTTGTTTATTTGCATTCCTTGACTCTTATGCTATATATTTTTTTCTTCAAATATACTAAAAACATTTGTGTCAAGGAGACGCTATATTGTCCCGACTGCCTTCTAAATTCTCTGAAGAAGAGTTCTTTTTCAAAAAATTAAAATGACTAAACTTTCAAAAAAAATCTTTGAGATTTTCAAAAAACTTTTCACTTGCGAGAACAGGTGACTTGTAATCGGTAACAATATTTTGTCCCATTAAATACTTTGCTTCAGACTTAAATTTTGCAGCTAATTCCTGCTGCTGTTGATTTCAAAATCAATTAAAACAACTTCTGAGTTTATTTGAGGTAAACTTAATTTTCTCAAGTACATTTTATTTTAAAAAATGTAGCTTTTTTTGGTCTTTGCACTCGTCCTGATTTTTGTCGGCTGATTTTCTGTTTTTCTAATGCAATTTCGTTTATTTGGCATGCTTTTCAAGCAGATTCCTTCCAAAGATTATGTTGATTAATGTAATTCAAACAGTTTGCTACTGTTTGATAAAAACAATTGGAATGAATTTATATGGGATTTGTTTGTTTTTCTTTCTGTTCTCAAGACGCTTCGAAATTTTTTCATCATGTTCAAAAAATTTATTTTTTTTTCCTGAAAAATTTATTTTCGGGTTTGCAAAAAAGACTTGCCACTGGAAAGTTATTTCATACTGTACCTCATTGTAAAGTCACCTTTAACTGTGCCTCAATTTCTACAGCCTACGATAAAAATCTGCGAGAGAATTTTTGACTCATATTTTGTTTTTTTCCTCATTTTCCAAAAACTAAGTTTGATCAGGGCTTGGGTCAGATTGTTTGATAAAGTTTTTGTTAATTGATTTTCCAGAAAAACTTTTTGCTCCAAATTTTGCTTGGTTTGTCGTTTGAGTATCTCCTTGATACGAGTCTTAGGAAACTTGGTGCAATGAAGTCCAATTATTTTAACTTTTCAACATCAAAGCGACTGCTTGTATCAAGGAGTGCTTCGACTGCCCTTGTATCAGGTGCAAAAAAATCAAAATAGTTTTGAAAAAAAACTACTTTTCAAATCTGACTTTGGGTTCAATGGATCAACAGGTTGTGATAAACGCACATATTTGTTTCCAAAAACAATTATGGCTCTCGGAAAAGTCGAAATTTTGATTTTTTTGACAGTTTTTTCAAAGAACTTTTTTTTCTCGAAAAACACCCTCCCAGATCTGAGACTTTAGCGACTAGCAAGCGTTATCAAGTTGGAAATTTGACCTTTTCTCGGGTTAAAGACTTGGTCATTAGAATCACTTTGTATCTTAGCTCAGAATCAATTCATATTGTAAAGAGTCTCTGCCACACTTAGTCTGGAGGCACCGAGAGCACCTGGGACGGCAAAGGTTCTCTTGGTCGAATCTGACCGAGAAATTTTTTTTTTCAACCAGAAATTCTCCGTTTCAAATAATATGTCGGCTTATTATTTTTCTGGTTATGTTTTCTAGGCTTAGTTGCCATATCTTAGAACTTTTTTGCAGTATGAACTTTTCATTGTAATGATTCTTTCACATTTCTATGCTTCCATTTACCACTGCAATTTGCAATTCTACTAAGCTTGACTTCGTAATTTTTTCTTTTTTTTTTCATTTTATGCCGTCGAATGTGTTTCTGGACGTGTTTTGCGCAAATAGAACATCATTCCAGGCAACATTTTGAATTTATTATGTGTATGGTTTCTTCGAAAATTTTTCCGTTTGTTTGGACGTAGTGGCTCTCATTTCCTTTTCTGTCTGCTAGCTTGCCATGCTTTTTGTAGTATCGCAATTGATCTAAACTATACTAAGAGCTACGCCCATTTTTTTGCAAAAAAAATTTCATCCTCGGAAAAATCATTTTTTTGGGCTCAATGGAGACAATGGGTTTCGGGAAAATTGCCTGCATTAGCTGCTATGCCTTCTTTTACCACAAAACTTTTTGTCCTACTAAAATTCATAAAGATTTTTTGTCCATATTTTGAAGATTTTGCTTTCAATCAAAGGTTGCCCCCCCAAAATCTGATTTTTTTTGGGTTAAATCAAAATAACAGGTGATGTGGAACTCGCCTGTACAAACAGCTATGCCCTAAATAATCACACGAACAATTATGGATCTCGGATTGGTGAAATTTTTGATTTTTAATTACTTTTTGATAAAAAAAAATTCTCAGAAACTTCAAGTTTTCGATTTTTTGGCAGTTTTTTTATTTATAAGTTCTCCTAACAACTACACTCCAAAATGTGCGATTTTTGTTTCAATCAAAAGAAAGAGTTGAGAAACTCTCCTGAAAACGGTTACATACAATTTTTTTGCTAATAATTTATGATCATCAGAAAATTCAATGTTTTGATTCCTTGTCTATTTTTTGAAAATTGATTTTTCTCGAAAATAAAACCTAGTCGAATCTTA